AACGAACTCACCTCCTTTGCCTCAATGATCCTACACAACTGAAGGGCTCGTGACATGCTGGCTGCCAAAAAGGGACGCTCTTGTTCCTTCCTCAGTAAACAAATATGTTGGTGCTATGTAAATCAGTCTGGCCAAGTAGAATAGACGTATGTCCCCTCTGGGGCCCTGGCCCTTACCTCTCCTCAGCACACTGGTCTCTATCCTTCTCATAATAATTGTTCGTCGTCTGTTAGGAATGTTTCAGGAAATATTAGTAACATGACCCACTGGTCAGCGAACTGGAGGCTTTGACAAAAATGCCCTCCAGCTTCTTACAGTCATCAGACATCCTAACCTCCAGCTTTGGACCAGTGTAGCTGCCTACCCACCACCTATTCATAACCAACCCCAACAGCAGAGCTACCTACATATGTCCAGAGAGCAGCCATCCAAAGAGTACAGGCCTGCTGGAGTCAGAGAGATGGCTCAGTGGTTAAGTGCACACTGGCTGCTCTTCCAGAGGATGAGGGTTCAATTCCCAGGACCCACATGGTGACTCACAACCATCTACAATGCCCTCTTCTGGCCTGGAAGTCTGTGCAAGCACTTGGTGCAAATATATATGTGCTGGCAAAACACCCATACACAGAAAATAAAAAATGAATAACAATGATGAGCATAAAAAGAAAATGTCACTGTGCTGACAATATCGTGAAATGGATGATTGTAGAAGATCACAGGAAATATATGTAATGAAAGATAAAAATGAGAGAAAGGCGTTTTAGAGATGCTTAATGCATAAGAAGAAGGTACATATGGCCTTTGGGGTGGGGACTGAACAAAAACATAGAGAAGAAAATAGTCAAAGGAAAATTTCCATGAATTGAAGAAACTAATTCTTGGTATCAAAGGAAGCAACCAAGTGTCAAGTGACAGTAAACATAGTGAGACACATCCTGACACAATTTATTTTAAAAATTAAAGTTTCAGAGGAAAATAAAATGAACCACCTCCACCAAAACGAAAAAAAAAAAATGGTCTGAGTTTGGTAATAGAATTATCCACCAACATTGATGACAAAAGTGTTGAGGCAAACCCTGCAAAGGGCTGAGATCAGAATGCTTTTACTAAATGACTAATCTGTGATGGGGGGCGGGGCTCAGACACGGTGTGTCCCATCTGACACTTTCTGAGAGTTATTGGAGAACACAACAAACAGAATGATTAAGTTGCTCGAGAACTTAATGTGGAACCCAAAGCAAGGCAGCAAATGCTGCTTGCAGGGGGGGCGGGCATAAAGATGGTACTGCTTCATCTTGCCTCAAGGTCAGAGATTTCCAAACTGTCCTTAGTGTAAAGTCAGAAGACCTAAAGGTCTAAGGTGTGGCTGCTGTAGGATGTTCGACCTTGGTAGAGGATGTCTTATCTAAATGACGACAGATTTGATCTGAGGTGTGGTTACTCTTGACCCTCAAGGCCGGATTGCAGGAAACTGAGTCTAAGGTGTGGTTAAGGGAAGAAAGGCTGTTTGTTCCTTATACGTGATAAAGAATCTTTTGCCATGTTCCCCTTTGGTTGGGGTACTTAAGGATGTTGAAGAATAAACTTGGCATGTTCATTATTCACTGCATTGCCCTCCTGTCTCTATCCTGTGTCTCTGTCTTTTTTTTTTTTTTTAATCATCTTTACCTGCCCTTTCTCAACACACACACACACACACACACACACACACACACACATCCCCGCCAGGTACAAACCAGGCAAAGTCAGCTGGATCAGACTGAAGGCCCACAAGGACAGCAGGGCAGCTTCATATTAGTGATAACTATTAGTGATTAACTGCAACAGGAACCCCAGGTCTGCAAGGAAAGTTATTTTTGAGGAAAATTACAATTATTAAACTCTGTGATTAAACAAGAAATCTTGAGGGCTGGTGTTAAAATAGTTAAAAAAGAAGAAATTTGAAATTAAGTTGTAGAAGAACTTTTCAATATAAGCTTATAGTAAAACAGATCATTTTAAGCAAAATTTGAGTAAGGCCGGCATTACAGTGAAGAAAAGGGACTTTATCCACTCAGGGATAGTCTCTGGCTCTGTAACTCGTGTGTGTGTGTGTGTGTGTGTGTGTGTGTGTGTGTGTGTGTGTGTGTGTGTGTTCTTGAGACAGGGTCACTCTATTACGTAGCTCTGGCTGCCTTGGAATTCTCTTTGTACACCAATTTGGCTTCTGAAAATTCAGAGATCCACCTGCCTGTCTCCTGAGTGCTGGGATTAAAGGCCTGTGCCTTTATAGAGATTTATAGTGACAATAATAGATTAGTGGTTCACAACTGTTATCCCAGCACTCCAGAGGCTGAGGAAGGAGTCACCGCCACCCAGCTGCAGCCTAGCCTGGGCCACATATGGTGTGAGAGAGCCTGTCAACCCTACCTAACACTTATACATGCATCTACACTATTCTAAACAAAGCACATTCTGGGTAAGGCAGTTCAACCCTTCCAGTGACAGCACAACCATTCTGGCTCTTTTTTTTTTTAAATTTTATATAACAAAGTCCAATTAAATGGCTCTTAAACACAGGGCATCGCCACATCTTGTTAATTTCCAACCCTCGGCACCGACTGACCCATCTGCAAGAGGGCATTGGTAACAGTGAGAAACAGAACATGAACACATAGAAACAAAGACGGGGTTGGAGAAAGGAGAGGATCTATGTGCATTCTTTTTAGAAACCTTCAAAAGAGCAATCCCCTTTAATAGGGTAATAATGAACCCTCCACAAAATAAAAGCCAATTATCACTTGTATAATTTAAAATGAGGATATAAAATCAGGAGGGAAGAACAAGGTAGTGAGTATGGACTAAATTCTTCGTATTTTGGAGCAGCTGCAGTTGTTAATTTTGTGCATTTACAGCAGGTGTCAATAGATATGAATTGTTTACAAGTTATATATAATGTATGTGGTAACTATCAAAAAATCGAAAGCAGACAAGTTGAAGTGGGTGCAGTAAGAAATAGCAATGAAGCAGATTATTAGGCATCTTGGGTGATGTCAGAAAAGCTGATAAAGGAGAGGAGATGGAGATGGAAAACCTGGTATATTTTACACTGTTTTTAAAATTATCAGGTGTTATTTTATGGTGGAGAAGACCACAGCAATATTAATAGAAATACACTTCAAAGGGAAGGACAAGCAAAGGCAGGTACCTCTCACTTCTGATATAATGAAAGACAGCCATGTTAGCTGGCCATGAAACCCAGAAGTTTAAATAATTACTGAGCCATGCTGTCTCAGTTAGGATTTCTATTGCCGAGAATAGACACCATGACCACGGGAACTCTTATAAAACAAAAACATTTAATTGGAGTGGCTGACACTTCCAGAGGTTTAGTGTGATGGCCCTTGGGGGCTTGCAGACAAACACAGTGCTGGACCCGAGCCCTGCATCTTGATAGACAGGGAACGGGAAGTGGTCTGAGACACCAGACATGGCTTGAGCACATATGAGTCCTCAAAGTCCGCCTCCACAGTAACACACTTCCCCAACAAGACCACACCTACTCCGACGAAGCCACACCTCTCATTTGGAGGGACCTGCTCATTTCCATCAAAGAAAAGGCTGCCTCAATCCACCCTGTGTTGTGGGCACGCGGATACCACCTCTTCAGGACATCCCTGACTGAAATGTTAAGTGGCTACATTTTGGCTTCTCTGAATACACTGTACAGAAATACTCCCAAATGCAGAAAAGAAAACTCTGCACCTGGATTCCAATCCAAGAATGTCTGGAACCTGAATGCACAGAGACAGGTGCGCAGTATTTTTTTTTTTTTTACTTAAAAAAATAAAACATACCCAGATGCCATAAGCTGAGCTGCACTAATAATATGGTTAGAGAAAAATATAAATATTCAAAATGATATATTGTACAATATTTGGTCAAAAAGTTACACGTACACATGTGTGCTTACGGTGCTGCATGGCAAAAAAATGCTGTTTTCACTCATATATATTTTTATTATTATAACGTTTCCTTGAAACAATGTCTCATTCTGTAGCCTCTGGGGCTGGGAACTCCCAGAAATCCTCCTGTCTCGGCTTTCCAGAGCTGGGATTTGTGCCATCACACCTGGCTACTTATTTTTATTGTTATTATTATTTCTTTCCAACCAGTATTACTCTTTATGTATTTTAAGGAATCAAGTCGTATCTGGTATCTGGCCGAGCTGTCACTGGGGGAGGAGCTTGCTATTTCCCACTAGTTCACTCTCAAAAATCTCTGGGAAAATTCCCTGCAGGCCTGGGATTGGCGCCTTTTGTGTGGGTTAGAAGCCGAGAACCGCCAGGGCCAGGCCTGGGGCTGCGAGCCGCGTGCAGGGACGCGGGGACGTAGGGTGACAAGGTGGGCAGGACTCGGGGGCAGGACTCGGGGGCGAGCGGTGGCCGACAGCAGGGTGTGCGGGAGCGCGCGAATCGCGGGTGCGCGCCCCGGAAGCCGCGGGTGGGGTGCAGCGACCTGATGCACGGGGAACCGCGGGGTGCAAGCCCGAGACAGCGGCCGGGTGCACGGGGAACCACGGGGTGCAAGCCCGAGACAGCGGCCGGGGTGCACGGGGAACAGTGGGGTGCAAGCCCGAGGCCGCGGCCTGGTGCATGGGGAACCGCGGGATGCAAGCCCGAGGCCGCGGCCGGGTGCACGGGGAACCGCCGGGTGCAAGCCCGAGGCCGGGTGCACGGGGAACCGCCGGGTGCAAGCCCGAGGCAGTGGCCTGGTGCACGGGCAGCCGCGCGGTGCAGAGGCCGGGTGCATGGGGAACCGCGGGGTGCAAGCCCGAGGCCGGGTGCACGGGGAACCGCGGGGTGCAAGCCCGAGGCCGTGGCCGGGTGCATGGGGAACCGCGGGGTGCAAGCCCGAGGCCGTGGCCGGGTGCACGGGGAACCGCGGGGTGCAAGCCCGAGGCCGTGGCCGGGTGCACGGGCAGCCGCGCGGCGCGAGCCCCGGGCCCTGGAGCGCAGTACCTTCCCAGCGCAGCTCGCCTCCGGGCTCGCGCTGCAGGAACTTGTACCAGAACGTGTCTACGCGGCCGGCGCCCTCGCGGCCCGGCTCCGTCCCGCCGACCGCCGCCGCCTCGTTGTCCGGCGCCAGCTCCACCTCGGCGAGCCACAGGCCGGGCTCCTGCAGCGCCAGCGCGGCCGCCCCCGCCGCGGTGCCCGCGGGCCTGAGGCGCACGGCCCCGCGCGGCTCCCAGCGCCCCAGCTCCGGCCGCGATCCCGCGAGCAGTAGCTCGGGCCGCGCCCCGGCCACCGCGGGCGGCACCACCACGCCGAAGCGGAACAGCATGGCGAGCGCCGCCGGTCCTGGGCGTCTCGGCGAGCGGCGGGCGCTGCGAGCCCCGGGGCCGCGCGGACACGTGCCGCGCCGCGCCGCGCGTTTGCGGTCGGGGTCACGCGGCTGTGGGTTCCCGGGCACCCGGGGCCTGCGACAGGAGAGGCCACCGCGGGGACAGGAGAGAGGGAAATGTCCCGTCGCCTTCCTGGAGACTGGAAAGCGCCTTCACTGAGTCACGAAGGAGGAGATGCCGCCTGGCTGAGCCCCCAGCCTCACCCCCCCCCTCCGTCGCCGCCCCCCCCAGTGAAGTTGCTGGAAAGGTCCAGTTTCATCCCTGCGGCCTCTGTTTATGAAGTGGGGAACATGCAGGTGGATAAGGGTCTCTAGAGATGCTCCACTGCAAATGCAGAACCCCGAGTTCACCCAACACACTGAGTACTTCCCCTTGCCTAGGGGTACTTAGGAGCAAAACACAACTCCTGTTTCTAGGGAAAACGATCTTCTCAAGATCAAAACAAACCCTTGATTGTGAGAGGATAAGCATGTAAGTTTAGAAACAAGGCCTCAAGGTGGAGACCAGCTCAAACTTATAGGCCCAGAGCCCGGCTACATCCGTGTGTGTGTGTGTGTGTGTGTGTGTGTGTGTGTGTGTGTGTGTGTGTGTTTCATTAAAAATCAGCTATTTAAAAATTACTTCTTGTAAATATTAGCACTTGTTTTTCCTCGTAAAACATCTTTGGATCAAGAAACAGCTTTTCATTATTTTGCCAAAAGAAAAGTCTACATCTTGCCAGAAAGAGAGGGAGACACTTCAATTTGTTATTGATGTGGATAAAGTCTATAGTCACTGTTCTTAGCTGTTTTTGTAGTATTACTTTGGTATTCTTTATATATTCACCAACATCTAACCTGATACATGTTAACATGATACGATAACATGATTCTTGTGAAAATCACAAGACACATAGTTGCCAATATTTAGGAGCTGGTGTAGGAGAAAACCAGAATTTTATGCATGTGGAAAATCTGTAAAGCAAAAGTAGGAGAAAATGAAAAATTCACAAAAGTTTGCAGAAATTAGTAAGTAGATACAACATGTCTCTCTTAAACAGTGACTTTCCGCGCTCAGAGTTTGCTTGGTCGCTTCATTTAAGGAAAAAATGAAAATACGATGCCAGTAAGGCTGGCCAAGCATGGCTGACGCAGACACAAAACGGAAGTGAGGGCTAAGTGGCAAGTGTACTTAAGTCTCTCTTACAAAACTTGCTGGGGGTGATTTTAGGATGATAATGGTCATTTGGCCATGCAAAGAGGACTACTTGTCTAGTTTGGACTCGACACTTCAGTGGCTTCTTTCTTCGGAGGCAGAGTAGCTCTTCAGCAATCTCGTGTGGAGCGCTGCCTGCCCTGTGTGTTTTTGTCTTTCCAGTGGAATTCTTCCCTCCCTCCGGGCCTCCAGAGTGAGCCCTGCCCTCTCCGAGGTGAAAAAATGGCAGAAAGAGAACAGTATGCCGGTCCAAAGGACTTTGACTTTTTCTTCTTTCTCATCGTAACGATATTAACTGTTTTAACCATTGAAAGACCTGCCCTTCTCAACCGCTAAACAAAGTATTTGAGCGTTTATTTAAGCAATCTACGTATGATGAAAATGTGATGATTACGTTGTGCACCAAGCAAAGTGCAAGTGGGAAACAGAATACCAAAATATGGATTAAGCAGCACATACCAAGGCGTCAATCAAAATTGGACTCAGTCATTCGGCTGTGTCAACCATAGTAATAGCCCCTGAGGAGTCATGTATGAGAAGACAATGTCTTTCCTCTTAGACGATCTCATTTGACTCTCAACAGTCATAGGAGATAAATACAATGTTATCCCCATTTTCACATTCGGGGAAACTGAGGTACAGAAGGGGTCAGTCCACAGGAAGCAAAGGAAAAAGTCACATACTAAAAAAAAAAAATCCATTTTGTTAACAAGTATGTAAAAACAGGTGTATCTTTTGGTAGGAAGATTTTATATGGAATGCACTTAAATCCATGTGTAATTTTTTCATTTTTATTATATCCATTTATTCTCTCCCCCCCCCACTGTGTGTGTGTGTGTGTGTGTGTGTGTGTGTGTGTGTGTGTGTGTGTAGAGTACAATTTTCAGGGGTGCCAGGAGTTGAAGTCAAGCTTAGCAGCAAGCACATTTACCCACTGAGGAATCTCAGCCTTCCAAACATACTCAAATATTACTCTTTCATCTTTTAATAAAACATTAATGCCTCATAGTTTCCTATAATTAATTTCATCCCTAAGAATAACAGGATAGATGAACCCCTGATAAAACTTTTGAAAGACAAAAAAGTAAAGTTAAGGAAAACACACACACACACACACACACACACACACACACACTTGAAATGAAGGACAATCTGACCTGGAAAGCTAACCCAGACCAAAATCAGTTCCCTGGAATTTGCTAAGTTCCCCTCACAAGGCCCTGAGATAGCAGGATACCAAAAATTCACACTGCCCCTCCTTTCCGTGAGTCAGCAGGTGATAAATAGGGTCCCTAAGAAACAAAGAGATAGCTGCACCTCCTGTTTGTCTTGCAGACAAGATTAATTAGCACACCCCGAGGCCCTAAGATCTGCTGACCCTAACAGCAAGACCATCCAGCCTCAAAGGGTCACATACTCAATGGACAGAGGGTCACACCCACTCCCTAAGCTTGTGGGTTTTGCCTTTAAAACACCTGTGTCCAGGGGATGGCGCTTCTCTCTAGCGCTAAGGGAGCCCATTTGCGCAAACAATTCCTGTTCATCAAAGCCTCTTGCGTGTTGCAGTAACTGGACTGGACATTGAGTTCTTGGGGGACACCGACCGAAACTAGGAGACTCCTCATTCTGAGGGTCTTACACTTTAAAGTATCAATGAGTCTGTACAAACAAATATTTTGATATTTAGGGAGGTTTTGCCTTTAAATTATAGGAAATAAAGGCTGTAAGCTCTTATATGCCTGCTTTGTGTTTTGTTTGTTTGTTTGTTTGTTTGTTGAGACAGCATCTCATGAGTCCAGACTGGTCTCGAACTCAATATGTGACCCAAATTGCCCTTAAGTTCCTGATCCTTTTGCCCCAACCTCCCACATTCTGGGATCACAGGCTTGAACTACCACACCCTGTTTGTGCATTTGTTTTGTTAATTCTAGAAACACAGACTCATGAAGCCACAGCAGAGTATCCAGTGATTAAACTGAATCACATTCAGGTCTTTTTCTTTCTAGGTTTTCTTTCTTCTTTTCTTTCTTTTGTTTTTTGTTTGTTTTTCGAGATAGGGTCTCAGTCCTGGCTGTCCTGGCACTCACTGTGTAGACCAGGCTGGCCTCGAACTCACAGAGATCCTCTTGTCTCTGCCTCCCAAGTGCTGGCATTAAAGGTGTGCACCACCAACGTGTTCTCTCTTGGATATTCTTTGTCAAATCTCCCTTTATATGACAAAGAGAGTTGGTATTTATTCAAAGGGATTATTTATAAATCCATTTGCAAGAGGCTGCAGAGATGGCTCAGAGACTTTTCTTTCAGAGGTCCTGAGTTCAATCCCCAGCAACCACACGGTGGCTCAAAACCATCTATAATGAGATGTGTTGCCTTCTTCTGGCATGTGGGAATACATGGGGGCAGAAAGTTATATAGTTAATAAATCTTTACAAAATAAATAAATCTTTTTTAAAAATCCATTTGCAGTCATATTTAAATGCTACAGTGACATGCTGAGTTTAGAGCAAACACAGCTCAATGGAGAAACATAATTCTGGGAATCATTTTTAAAAGACCAACCCATTTTTTGTCATTGGATTCCATTTCTATAATGCCAGCTTTTATATAGCTACAATATTCTTTGGAGAATGGGTAATAAATTCAAACCTGCAAGTTACAGGATCCAATTTAAATATGCATCCCTTCAAAGTCCCCTTAGGGAAAGCCATTTCCTGGTTCTGCTCTAATTTATGTTTCTGACTGCGTTTCAGTAGTGACGGAGCTGTCAGTCTTCCCTTGTGAGACTGTGTGTATGGATGACGCTGGCTGATAGACGTCTTAGTTTTAAGTATCAGTTTATTACTTCAAAGAACATATCTAAAAGTTAAATGATTTTGTGCTTTAACAAGCAGGACCCAGAATCAGTTTGATACAACATTATCAAGAAATGTGCATTAGTAACCATAGCTATTTCCCCCCTCTGGACTGGAACCTGGGTTAGTCTGCTGCTGGAAATGCTCTAGAAATGCAGCAGTACAGAGGAGGCCTTCTGGCCCCTTTGTCACGCTCCTTTCCCCTTATTTATATTGTATTCCTTGTTTACTTTTATATCCTTCATTTCTTCTGTGAAAATGCTGATTTAAAAGCTATCCCCCAGGGGCCGCAGTTCAGTTTCCAGCACCCACTACTGCCTATAACTCCAGCACTAGAGGATTCAACATCCTCTACTGGCCTGTTCACATAGCTGCACACACTTCCACACGCATGCCCATAATTACAAACAAAAAGAGGATCCCCAGCGTACAATTACAGTGCAGAGATATGCTATCTCAAAAGACACCCTGCTGCGCCTTCCCTGCCCATCCCATCCTACCTGCAACCCTGTAAAACTGCACCTCCTCCCTCAGCTGAGAACCCTTACATGGCCTCTGTTAAGGCTGCCACCTAAAGGGACCCTGCCAGGAGAGAGTGCTGACCAAGGAGGTCAGACCTGTGGGTTAGAGACGCTGTTAGCTATCTTTCTGCTTGAAGAGTCCACTCTGTAGCCCCCTTCAGCCAATAGCATTATTTTCTAACATAGCGCGAATACTGAGCTTTTGGGACATTCGTCGAATGTTCATGAGAATGTAAAATAGCAAAGTCAATTTGATAATTCCTCCAAAAGTTAAACATACAGTTGCTATACAAGCAATCACCCCCTTCTCCTCTATAAAAAAAAACATGTCACACAAGCTTTTGTGTTAATTTTTACAGAAACATCACTCAG